TGCAAATTCTAACCCAAGGAAGTACCTAAGTTCCCCTAGATCCTGGATCTTAAAAGCATGTTGCAATGCATCTTTGGTTTCTTAAATCATTTGACAATCACTCCCAGTTATCAGTAAATCATCTACATATTTGAGCACTATGACTATCCTGTCACCCTTCTTCTTGATAAAGAGAGAATAATCTCTAGTACTTTGAGTAAAACCTGAGGCAATCAAGGTGGTGTTGAGTTTAATGTTACACTGCCTTAAAGCCTGTTTGAGGCCATATAATGATTTTAACAACTTCCACACTTGGTTGCCTTTAGACCTGCAGTTGAAACCTTCTGGTAGCTGCATGTATACTTCTTCATTCAAAGCACCTTGCAAAAAAGCATCATACACATTCATTTGGTGTATTATCCAATGGTTAGTGGCTGCAATAGACACAACAATCCTAACCGTAGCCATCTTTACTACAGGTGAAAAGGTCTCTTGATAATAAAACCCTTCCTTCTGATTGTATTCTTTTGCTACTAATCTAGCCTTTAATCTTTCTACCATACCATCTGCATTGTATTTGATTTTATAGACCCATCTACACCCTATGTCCTTCTTGCCTCTTGGTAGGTCCATTACCTTCCATGTCTTGTTATCCTCTAGTGCTGTAATTTCACATTTCATGGCTGCTATCCATCTAGGATCTGTAGTAGCCTCTTTGTAAGTAGTTGGTTCAACATCAGTTGAGAATTTAGATACAAAATTCTAATACTTGGGGTGAGACCATTATAATTCAAAACTAAATCAATGGAGTATAGATAGTTATTTGAGCCAGCCTTAGTAACATAATCATTGTGCCATATAGGAGGTCGAGTGCCTCTAGTAGACCTCCTGATTGAAGGTGTAGGATTGATGGAATGATCTGTAGAGTGTGATGCATTAGTAACCTGAACATGCTCAATGGAAGTTGATTAACCACTGTCAATAGAAGGCATAGCAATATTTAGAGCTAGAACCAGTTCCTCAGAAACAAAATGGTTGTTGGTGGACAAGTGGCCTTGTTCAGTATTAACACTATCTTTAAAAGGAAAAACTGTTTCCATAAAAACTACATCCCTACTCATAAAGAATGTTTTATTTTCCAAATCATACAACTTGTATCCCTTTTGAGTAACACCATACCTAACTAAAACAGCTCTCACAACCTTAGGACTAAACTTGTCGTGTCTGACTAAATTTGTGGCAAAACACAAACAACCTAGAACTCTCAAATGAGCAAATACAGGGGGCTTACCAAATAATCTCTCAAAAGGAGAAATATCATTTATAACAGTGGAAGGTATTCTATTCAAAATATAGATTGCAGACTGAATACAAATACCCCAAAACTTGTCAGGGAAGTTGGCTTGAAACTCAATTGCTCTTGCAGTCTCAAGGATATGACTATGTCTTTTCTCCATTACCCTATTTTTTTGAGGTGTGTAAGGACAAGAACTCTCATGTATAACACAATAAAGCTGGAAAAATTTATTGCAACTAGTGTTAAAGAATTCACAGCCATTATTAGATCTCACTCTATTTATATTGATGTCAAGCTGTCTCTATTTCAGCAAAGAAATGTTTTAACAAGTTAATAAAATAAGATTTCAATCTCATCAAAAATATCCATGTCCACCTTGAATAATCAACCACAATGGTCAGAAAATATCTCATTTCATCAAAGTTTTCTACTTTATAAGGTCCGAAACATCCATATGCAACAGTTGGAAAATACATGTAGAATGACTAGTATTTTGTGGAAATGACAATCTAGTTTGCCTTGCAAGAGGACAAACTTCACAACTAGGCAAAACAAGTTTAGTATTACCAGAACTATGAAACATAGGAATCTTTCTGATCACACTCATAGGTACATGACACAATCTTTTGTGCCAAACATCTGCATCAATATCTTGTGTTACTGCTAAGTATCTCTGTGGTGATGACTAATTTGCCTCCCCTATCTGTGTGCATACTGTATATAATACATTCTCTTCTCTACCAGTCACCCTCACCTTCCCAGACAAGAGGTCCCGAAAAATACAATATTTTGGGAAAAAATAACACTGCAATTCAAATCTTTTGTCACTTGAGAAACTGGCATGAGATTGAATTGAAAGGCAAGCACACATAAGACTTGTCTTAGAATATCACCTCCACCTATGTGACAGTCCCCAATGTGTGATACTTTAGCAGAATCACCAGTGGGTAGCTAAACATGACCTGCACAATCTATTAATTTTTTATGGTGTAAATAAGAAGGATCACCAAGAATATGGTGAGAGGCCCTAGTGTCAACAATCCAGGTCAATGAATCAGCCTTATGAGTAGGTGAAGTACCTACCATATTTGAAGTTCCAGGTTTATCAGCAAGTGTATCTTGGTCCAGCATCCTGAGCAACTGTTGATGTTGTCCTGGAGTAAGAATAGGCATAAGTGAAGAAGAAGAAGAATGAATGTGTTGATGATATTGATGGTGTTGGGAAGAAGATGCCATGTAAGAAAACATTTGGGGAGATGTTGTGTTCTATTGTTGCAAAGGTGTTGTGTGCTGCTATAGCAAAATTCATGTATCATAGACTGAATTACTAGCTACAACAGTGTGCAGCTGCTGTAAAATCCCTGCATCATAGATTGAATTACCAGCTACAACATGATCTCTCCTGCCCTTGTAGTGAGGTGGATAGCCATTGAGCTTGTAACAATTATTTTTAAGATGACCTGTCTTTTGGCAAAAATCATATTTGATCAACTTGAGACGGTCAATCTTCAGATGTCCTTTCACATTACAAAATTCACACAAAGCATGGGATTGTAAGACTTCTTTTGCTGCTTCTGATTGACAGATTTTGATCTATTGGTGAATAATGTTGTTGATGCCAAATGCTTAGGTAATATCCTGCTCGAGCTGGCAACCATTAATTGGCTTTCATGTTGATTGATCATGGCATAAATGTTGTCCAAATGGAAGAATGTTGAAAGTTGTCTTGTATGGGTGTTTAACACTAACCCAATTATTGAATTCAACTCAACAAAATGGGCTAAATAAATATATTTGGTGGATATTATTTTCTCAGCTAAATAATTGGATTTCTTGTTGGGCCTAAATCATTTTATATTGATGTGGGCTTCACGATACTGAAGGTTATGTGTTAACATATGAATATAAGTTTGTGATGGAAGCCCACTAGGTCAGGGGTTTTAAACCTAAATTTATGTGGGTTGGTCACATCTTCATCATCGTCTTCGTAAGTGCAGCCATTGAAATTGTCTCCTAACACAGAAGGAAAGGAAGCTTTAGCATGTTAGTTCTTGCAAGAGATTGGAGCTATAGTGAAATCAAGTATTCTTCTAATTAATTCTTGGTATTCTAAGTCTGCAATATTCATGAGATTACTTACATTTTTTATATAACAAGTTTTATAGATCTGGCTGGTGTTTAAAATTATGTTTAGGCCCAGAAGTGATGTTCACAATTGTAATCTATGGTTCAAGATTTAAATTTTTCTTCGGTTATAGATCTTTTGAAATTGAGGGCTTAGGTTATAATCCTTGTTTAGTAGAATTGGGGCATAATTGTGACTAACGTATAGTTACTAAATACATCAACATTAATACATTTCTTGGCCAAAACATATGCATACCTTTGCGTAATTGTGAAAGTTCCCCTTCATGGGTCTCAATAAAGTTTCTTGCATAGGAAATTACCAAATCAATAAATGCATAACATATGTTTTCTGTAAAGAGTGAATATTTTATTAGTCTAGTTACTTCCTCAATAAAAAAATGAGAGAAACAATTTCATTACTTTCTATTCATTCCTTCTTAATTGTTGATCCGACATCCAATTTCCACATTATTTTTTTTACCCATTTAAGCCATTTGTTGAAGTTTGTTTTTAGTTACTGTAGTAACTTTTAGCAAAATAAGTTATTTAGTTTGAATAAATTTAAATTTTGAATTTTAGTTAGTTTGTTTATGTTGTTGAGATATTTTAGGTTGTTTAAATTTCAAATTATGCAGATTATATTTTTATGTTGGCTATTTAAAGCCCCTCAATGCTTAATAAAATCATTGAAAGCTATTGAAAATCATTTCAATCCACTGAGAGACATTTTAAATCCTTTTGTGCTGCCCCACTTTTAAAAAAACACCAACAATGGTATCAGAGCTTCATTGATTTTAAGAGATTTGTGAAATCTTCCAAAAACTACTATACATTTTAACCCGTAAGGGCTACCTTTTTAACCCATCAGGGCTACCCATTTTAACCCATCAAGGCTACCTTTTCAACCCGTGCTTTTTTCAACGCATAGACTTTTCTAAATCATTTTTTAACCAAAATAATGGCAAGAAGATGTCTCTCTTTGAATGCCCCACAAATTTTCACAGACGAAAACTATCAAATTTGGTGTTTGAGAATAAAATCATATTCTGAAACCTATGTGATATGTGAGGTTGTGATGGAAGAAAAACCCTTACAACCTCTATCTGCAAATCATATAAAAGTTCATATTAAAGCACTTTCAAAAAAACGTCTACACAAGACAATGTCATCGCATGTGTTTTTGAAGAACAAAATCAAAAGAAGAAAAAGAAAAAAGAAGAAATTTTGCAAGTTCAAAAACAATGAAAAAAATCCAGCATAACTATCAAAGCAAAAATTGAGGAGGAGCATTTTTTTCAATTGCAGTAACTAAAGCAAATGAGGAGTGTTGAAGTTTGCTTTTAGTTACTGTAGTTAACTTTTAGTCAAATAAGTTATTTAGTTTGAATAAATTTGAATTTTGAATTTTAGTTAGTTTGTTTATGTTGTTGAGATATTTTAGGTTGTTTAAATTTCAAATTATGCAGATTATATTTTTATGTTGGCTATTTAATGCCCCTCAATGCTTAATAAAATCATTGAAAGCTATTGAAAGTCATTTCAATCCATTGAGAGACATTTTTAATCTTTTTGTGCTGCCCCACTTTTAAAAAAACACCAACACCATTGCTAGATAAATTTGGAAAATTTAAAGATGAAAAAAGTTTCATACACTAAAAAAATAGATAAAACTAACAGATGAGGAAATGTTGGAAGTTTCATTGTCTTTCTACTGACAGATCAATATTTGACAATTAATATTCAAAGACTTGATGAATGGAAAAGGGTTCTTGACTTCTGATCAAACACATTTCACTAACTCTCTTACAAGTGAATATGTTAGAGAGTTCAACGTAAATCAAGAAAAAAAAATCAAAGTTTTTTTAAGGGATGATAATTATGGGTGATTTGCATTCTAGGCAACCTGGTGAGTTTAGACACGATTGCAAGGTGGCTAATTGACACCGACCACGTGTTGAAACCTTGTTTGAGACTTCAAATTGAAAAGACTAAAAGTCTATTTGTTGTTTTATTATAAGGGTAGTATTAAGTGAGAACTCATATAGGTTTTTTTTTTGTGTTACATTTTTGCAATAAAAAAAACAAAGAGACTTTTACTATTTTCTTTGTGAAGTCTCAAACAAGACTTCAATACTATATTGGTGGATACTAGCCATCTTGCAATCTCCTCTAATCTCACCAGGTTGCCCAGACTGTGTATCACCCATCTATATCATCCCTTCAACAGAAGCCTTAAAAAAATCTTGATTAGTACTGAACTTCTAACATATTCACTTGTAAGAGAGTATGTGAAAAGTGTTTGATCAGAATTCAAGAACCCCTGCCCATTTACCAAGTCTTTAAAATATTGAATTCACTTAACAGTGTGTATTAATTTTCCTTAAGGTAAGATATTGACACTACTTTACTTGGATACCCTATTAGGGATCGCATTTATGTGATTCTAATTATTGTATTTTCCCCAAAGATATTGAGTGGCGATACAATTCCTAAGGGACTTCCTTTTTCGCTAGACTCCATGTGGCTTCTGTTGTTCACCTCACTCTACTCCACGAGGTAATGGTAAGGTATCCATACACTCTACCTTCCTTAGACACCACTTGTGGGATTCCACTACGTATGTTGCTTTTTTTTAAATGTGCCTATTTTGATTTTCCATTTTCTAAGATTTTTCTTCTACAAATTGTGGTTTTTAGTTTCATAAGTCAATTGCATTGGGAAATTGCGGAAGGGATTATAAGGTGGGGAGTCGAACCACACCATCAAAGTGTAAGTGAAATTAACCAACCAATTGAGCTACTATGGTTCCATAATGAAATTTATAAAAGTTTTTACTTCAGGCACTGGAAATTAATAGGCCATAAATATAGTTATCATTAATTAAAACTTCCAATTATAATTTATATGTTTATTTTAAACTTTACAGATTTTTATTGAGGTTCTTCACATGAGCGGCTAAATTACGGTAATTTTATTATCATCAATTAGTACATTTACCACTAATATGAATTTTATTTGTCCTCTTCCGCACATATTCGTTTCTTTTCCTGCAAATTGTATTTTATATAAGCTTTTCTTTGTCCCATTTGAGTAATATGCAGGTTAGAAAGAAAATATTTTGTCTCATAGATGTCTGAATTTTATGAAATAAAGTTTATACGGTTTTTATTTCAAGTCATCAAGTCATGTAGCCACTCCTGTTTTGATTGTGCCATGTCAAAATTTAGTCATCTGACACTATTTAATTGTAGTTCTTTCCTAAGAAACACCACATCCCTAGTCTATAATATCAGCTAATACACTCCCATAGTTTTTATTGATGTGAGTACATTGAAGAAAATATAGCCCTTGAAAGTAACTTGGTGCAGAATGTTACAAGTTACTTTGGAGCCACCCTTGGAAGAGTCGCTAACCGGATTGGTGGTTCTCAATTTATTCTGAATGGAATTCTTTATAAGCTTATTCCTAATGAAGGCAAAAACATGATACATGGTACTAACTACATTTCCTTTTACCTCTGCTTTCTATTCCACATTTACCTCTATTACCCAAATTTCCTTTCTGTTTCTAATGTTATTAAAACTTCATAAATAAAGATAGCCATAAAGGATTTAGCAAAAATTTTTGGAAGGTGAGAAAGTACGTGCAAGATTGTCCCCGTACTTACATAACTCTAACCTACTTCGGTGCTGATGGTAAAGAAGGTAAGTTTTCGTATTCCATATAGGATATTACTCCTTTAATTTCAATTTACTTGTCTTAGTTTGACTAAACACAATATTCAAGAAAGAAAAATATTTGGAACTCATGGGATATAAACATGTCAAGAGATTTTCATGGCTATAAAAGCACTCCATTGATGATAAAATACGAAATTTGAAGTTAAATTATCTCCAAAAATAGAATGTGTCAACTAATTTTTGGCGAACCGATGAGGAAATATATAGCATCACGTAAAATAAAATAGAGGGAATAATTTCCTATTAAAGAATACTAATGAATTGACTAAACTCCATTCTTTCTTATATAGGATTTCTGGGTGGTATTCTTGCCCATGTTACCTATTCTCAAATAACAACTAAATACAAAAGATCACTCGATCAGGTCCCTTGTTGCATATGAGAAATATTTCTTCGAGAGAATGGATTTTGCCATGTAATTCATCCACTGAAAAAGCTAGGTTGTATCCCAGGTAAAAATAACTATTATAATATGGAAAAAACCTAGTGCAACGTTATTGGCCAAGAGTACTGATCCTTTGTAATCGCGCACCAACCACTGTTGTTGTGGCAGTGGTTGCAGCTTTTACGGTTGTTCTTTTTGCATTGCCTGAACCTTCTCAGTCTTCTCATGGGACATGGATCTATACTAGGTATCCTAGTTTGTTATATCATCAAAACATTAGGATAACTTCAGAATAGCAATCCATCCATCACTACTTTTCAAGGCTAGCGTGGCTCTAGGTCCTCGTCCTAAAAAATGGACAACTTTAGCATGTTGCTCTGTTTCATAGTAACTTTTGGAATCAAAAAATATAACTGCCTTTGAATTTCTAAGGCCATAAAATCCATCTTCCAATTTGAACACTACATAAGTTAAATAACTAGTTCTTTTCAACGACATTCGAGTGTCAACTTTTCCTCGGTTATCTAGCCAACTGATCCAATTAAGTTTAGCCACTTCAGAAAATCTATAAAAATAATTTAGACTTTCTCACTAATTATATTTACTAAAGTAATTTCTTTCAAAATTTTGAGTACATCGAAAGGAAAAGAAAAATATAAAACATGGGATCTGGGTGAGACAAACATTACCAATAATTTGGTGTACCAACCCATATAATACAAAGTTCTCGTGTTGCGACCATAAAACATTTCTTCCCCGTCTTCTTATCCAGCGAAGAACTCTATTTGACAAATCAAATCACATAGACAAAACATTAAGTTTTAAAAACAAACCAAAAAGGCCAAAAATGGCACTAGACCACTCTTATTGTGTCCCACTAGGATCACAATGAACCAATTGCACTCACTTAAAATGACTGTGTGAGTAATTAGTGGGCAGGGCCTGCATGTGACCGGCCCAACCCTACCTGATATGAACAAGCTAATAAATGGAATGTTCCACTCATAAGGGTTGTTAGGTGGTGGCGATCCGGGCCACCTTTCAGTAGCTAGTCATGTCTAGTGAGCGTGGTTGGCCTGTTGTGATCCCAATCGGAATCCTAAAGAGTGGTCTAGTGACTTTTTTTTATCCATTTTTTTAGTTTTTAAATCCAAATGTTTTGTATTTGTTATTTGATCTAGCTAATCAAATAGAGTTTTTCACTAGATAAGAAAATGGGGAAGAAATGTTTTGTGGTCGCAGCACGAGAACTTGGTATTATATGGGATGGTACATCAGAGAATTGGGAATGGTTGTCTTACCCGGACTCTGTGTTTTATATTTTTGTGGTTCCTTTCTATGCACTCTAAATTTAGAAACAAATTACTTTTTTAAATACAATTACTAAGAAAGTGTAAATTTTCTTGTAGATTATGTGAACTGGCTAAACTTAATTTGATTTGTTGGCTTGATAACTGAGGCAACATTGAAACCTGAATGTTGTTGAAAAGAACCTATTGTTTTTCTTATCTAGTGTTCAAATTAGAAGATGGATTTTGTGGTCTAAGAAATTCTAAGGCAGTTGTTAGATTTGTTTATTCCGAGAGTGACCATGAACCAGAGCAACGAGCATAAGTTATCTATGTTTTTTTAGAATGAGGACCTAGAGTGATGCTAACCTTGAAAAGAGGTGATGGGTGGACTGAATTAAAAATGGGAAACTTTTTCAATGATATAGGACAAGATGGAGATAATGAAGTGGGATTGATGGAGATTAGGCATCTCGATTGGAAACGTAGCATCATTTTTCAGGGAATTGAATTTCGTCAGAATGAAGAAGAGAAGGACCCTCCTCTTACTATGCTTTTTGTTTTGGTCACATTTGGATTGATGCAAAAGGTTTACCATTGTAGTGGAGTTATAGTGGCTAACCTCTCTGTTATCATAGATGAACCAGCCTCTAGTGTTCTCAGAAAATTTACCTAATAAATGAGTATAATGAAAGGCTGTAACACCCCAGAAATTTTTTGAGTTAAGACTCGAACCGTTTTTTGTAGTGAGTGAGATTTTTGCAAGGAATTTAAAATTTCTTGAGTATTAAGGTCACTAGATGTAGCACCTTGAGTTCCAAAAAGAATCGAATTGGAAATAGCAAAAATCTGAAATTTTTGCAAGTTAAGCTAAGTATGAGTTTTGGGTTGACTTCAAACGACCATTTAACGCCTAGCTCAAGATGAGTTAGGTGTTCTATCAGATACCGTAGGAAATATATTTGAATTATATTTCCAACGCCACCGAGTTTGCTCAGTTTCGATGTCGTCTAAGGGAGATATGTCCATTCGAAGCTGGGCAATCTAGATAAGGAAAGTCAAAACCGGATTTTAGAGGAGTATTTTGATCTTTTCCTTACCCAATCAGATTTAATTCATTTTTAGTAATATTTTAGGGGTCTAATATGATTAGGTTCAGTTTTATATTCCTAGTACGCCTACGGTTTTAGTTGAGAGTTCAACAAGAGAAAGGAAGAAGAGAAAAGAGGAGAAAAGAGAAAGGATCGAAGCGTTCGTCGAGATTCTTGAGTCTTGTTGCACATTTTCGCCATGGATTTAATCCCTCAGAGGTATGTAAGCTTCCATAGTGTTGGGTTAGTTCACCCACACGCCAATCATGTTATTTTCAGTGAAATTTCATTCTTGAAGTTGAAAGATTAGAGTTCTTGATGAGTTCTTGATAGGTGTTCTTGAAGTTCATTCTAAATCTTGTTGTGTTGGGGTTTGATGATTTCTTGAGATGAAATTTAGTAATTTAGTGTTGTTTTGAGTATATTAGAGTGTACTTATGTTAAGTAATCGAATCCAAGTGATTGGGGAAGAAACCGTTTGATTCTAGGCGAGTTAGGGTGAGAAAACGAGCATGGAAAATTCGTCGGATTTTTTGGGTTGGGGCCTGGCGCGATGCGCCAGCCAGAGTGCCCCAAACCCTCCTCTGAAGTTTAGGGGCTAGCGCCACCCATAGCGCGAGGGTCGCCTGCCCCATCCAGTTTGTCGTCGGTTGCCCCGTTTGAATTCTTTCGAAGGGTACCTTCACTCCTTTTCGATTCTAACTACTCTAAGCTACTTCTAAACACCTAAAATCATTCCTAACATGATCATAACCT